TGTTGTTTGTATATCTGGAGTATTCTGAAGTATTCCTGATTCTGATTCTGAAATGTAATGCAGCGTGAGTTGAGCTGTAACAGTCAGGGTGTTCTGGTTGGCAGGCCCATTATGGATCAGCAGGATCATTCATATTTGGTAATGAGCTCCGTGTTAAGACAGGGTCATTTTGGCCACAAGGACACCGACTTGTCTTTCTTGTCTTTCCTCCTTTATGTCTGCAGTGACCGCTCGCTGCCTCACGGGGGCGCTGTAGTCTTCTTCCTCGTTGGTGCGTTTGCCATGTTTGCGGAAGCTTGGTGAAAGCAGCTCGCTGGAGGCTGCTGACTGTTCTCTGTATGTTTGCAGCTGTGCTTTAATAATCCAACATGAATCTACCGAAGGGACCGGATTCTTTGTGCTTCGATAAGGATGTTTTTATGAAGGTAAGACTCGGTTAACGTTACGTTTAGTAACTCCACGATATCTTACACTGCTGAATTAGCTAGCATTAGCTAGTTGACTGTCAATGGCTGTTCCTATTGACTTTTCTCTTGTACCTTTTGAATATATAGACATTTAATCCAGTTAATAAGTGTTTAAACTTAAAACACAGCCGTGGTTAATGTTGTTTATGTACATATTTTAAACCTTACTGTCCGTTCATCATAATCCCTAGCAGCAAACGACGTAAACTAATGAGTCCAGTGTGTTATCTCCATTTTCTGACGCACCTTGTCTGTCCCTGTGTTAGTGATACCGGGTGTCTTTGTATTCCCCAGTGCTGTTAAATAATATCTAAGTGTGTGGTCTGTGTGCAGGATGACTTCGACGTTGACCAGTTTGTGTCTGAGTGTCGGAAGCAGGTCCAGCTGGAGGAGATGAGAGAGGACCTGGAGCTCTACTATAAGCTGCTGAAGACGGCCATGGTGGAGCTCATCAATAAGGACTATGCAGACTTTGTTAACCTCTCCACTAACCTGGCAAGTTGTTGTTATTAAAGTTGCCCATTTGCCACTTTATTGTAAAATGTTTTGATGAATATGGGATACATTATTTTTGCTATATGCTCTGGAGCCCGACCTCAGCAAGCCTTGCTTTTAGTTGATTTATTATCAGAGATTTATTGGTGTTATGTTGGCAAACTGCATCATAGTTAATTTAGTCTTAATTTGAATAAAATATAGTGTTGTTTCATGCTTTTATTTATCAGTATATGAAATAATAATTGTCAGTTTTGATATCTGTGGTACATTTACTGGTACTGTTATCATTGATAACTGGATTTTTTGCTCTGCTGTTAAGTCTCTTCTCCTACAAAATATTTGTTTATGTGACGTATTATGTCAAAAAGTCAAAAACATATTGGTTGATTGTTATTTAATTTGTATTCTCAAGTTTCAGTATTGCCATCAGTTTAAATGGGCTCTTGATATGCGCTTGAAAAATAAAAAGGGAACATCCCACACAGTTTCTAATCTCTGCTCCCTCATCTCAGGTGGGGATGGACAAAGCTCTCAATCAGCTTTCTGTGCCATTGGGACAGCTACGAGAGGAGGTTATGGTATGTGTTCGGATTAAGTATACTTTAAGCTTTAATTAATTCCTGCCTTATTGAGTGCTCATGCGTGTTTCTGGCTGTTCTCTATTGCAGAGTCTGCGGTCTTGTGTGAGTGAGGTGATTCAGGCTATAGACAGCCAGCTGTCCAAACAGGATGACCTGCAGAAAAAAAAGGTTTGGCTCCTCCACAAATTTAGTTTTCATCTGTAAATATATTTTATGATCACCTTTACAGTACTCTGAGACAGTCTAGTATGGCACATCCAGATACAGATGATTAACCTGCTGTAAATGTACAATCATAAACAGATCATAAACGATCTCCATTTATTACCGTCTTCCTTTTACTATCCCATCCATCAGGTGTGTGTATTGAGGCTGATTCAGGTGGTGCGCTCAGTGGAGAAGATTGAGAAGATCCTCCACTCCCAGAACTCTAAGGAATCCAGCTCTCTGGAAATCAGCAGGTGGGAAAAGACCTGGTAGATAATTTGTCATTGAATGCCGACAGGTTATTTACCAAGTAATGGCAGTTTTCAGTATTTGCATTTCATTTAATGTCTGTCTGTCACTGTACAGTCCCTTGTTAGCAGGTCAGATCCTGGAGAGGATTGCTACAGAATTCAACCAGTTGCAGTTCCACGCTGTACAGAGCAAAGGCATGCCCCTGCTGGACAAAGTTAGACCTGTAAGTGTTAACAGGTTGATCAGTCAGACAGCTGATAAACCAATAGCCACTCAGTCAGTCAGTCAGTCAGTTTGTCTGTCTGGCTGCTCTTCTGTCAATCCATCAGTCCGGTTGGAATATTTCAATTTCTTAGCTGTGTATGTGACACAGTTCTGTCCTCTTCCAGCGTATCGCAGGGATCACCTCCATGCTGCAGCAGTCTCTGGAGGGCCTGCTGATAGAGGGCCTGCAAACATCCAACGTGGACATGGTGCGTCACTGCCTGAGGACATATGCCACCATAGATAAAACTCGAGATGCTGAGGCCTTGGTAGGACAGGTGCTGGTCAAACCATACATGGACCAGGTAAACATGCCATACATGTTTTTATATAGTGTAGATCCAAAGGAATGTTTTTTTTTTTTTTTTTTGAAGACATTAATTGATACATTTCTCATCTCCTCGCCTCCTTTTAGGTGATAGTAGAAGAGGTGGTGAAGTCCAGTCCAAATGGTCTCCAGATGATGTACTCTAGACTGTTGGAGTTTGTTCCTCATCACTGTAGACAGCTTCGAGAAGTGACTGGAGGAGCCATATCCAGGTATTTATGCAAATTAATTCAAAGCATCCACTAATCAAGTAGTTCTTTGATATGTTTCAAAGTCCTCTTGCGTCTACTCGAAAAGCAAATTGTCTGCTTTCACCTGTTGCATTTAGCACATTGACCACACACTTTGATATTCATTTATTATGCTTTATTTGTATATTTATGTAAATGCATCATTTACCCAACATATTTTTTCTACATAAAGTCAGCTTCATGACAGTTTTTTGTCTGCTGGCCTTCAAAGATTTATTTCTAAAATAATAACTGTTATTCCTTGTGCTCATGAAATTAATCTTTTGTGCTGATGTTCTCTCTCTCCTTAGTGACAAAGCTGACATAGTTCCAGGTTATGATTTCCTGGTGAACTCTGTGTGGCCAGAGATAATCAAAGGGATAGAGGAGAGGTTGGCCTACCTCTTCAACCCTGGAAACCCTGATATATTCTATGAGGTACAGCCACAGTGACACTCTTGTATGCATTCACTTTAAATTTATTGTATGCTGTCAAATAAGATTACATTGAGTTGTTTTACCAGTGTGTGTGTGTTTTCTCTTGACTCTTCTTTTCTAGCGTTATAGCGCGAGTATGGACTTTGTGCGGAAGTTTGAGCGTCAGTGCAGCTCGCAGGCCAATGTGAAGAGACTGAGAGTACACCCGTCGTATATCAGCTTCCACAACAAATGGAACCTACCTGTCTACTTTCAACTACGGTGCATATTACCTCAATACGATCTATACTATACATACGACAGCCTGTAGATTAAACGATGTACATTACAGTTTGTTTCACACCCACTTCATTTCATGATTGGCCAGCTATGTGGAGGTGAGAAAAGAGCCAGGGTTTGCACTTTTTTTTTTTCACTATTTCACTTTTCACATGAACAACTAAATGCAACACTATGTATGCCTCCCAGGAGATGACTCCTTTGTCACCTCCACACAGCTGGCCAGTCATGGCATGAAGCGAGTAGAGTTACAGGAAAGGTCAGACACAGCTCCCTCTAATCTAATGCCAGAAAGTTGTGGGGGAAGGGGTTTCCTCAAGTTATACAACCATCCAACAAGCACTTCTGATGAGGCATATTGGCAAGACTTTCTGGAGTTTTGTTGTCATGGTGAGGTTGCCAGGCAACCAGAGAGACTCTGAGAAGTCACTGTGCCTGGCCAAGAAATTGTCCCTCACACAACCCCCGTCAAGCCAAAACTTCATAGTTTTACTTTTAGTTTACTGTGTGGGTTAAACAAATGACGTAACATGTTAATAATAACTAGTCAGTAATTAGCGAGCTCTAGACGGGCTGGTAGGTTTTGTTACCTTTGGACAGAGTCAGGTTATACGTTTCCCCATTTCCAGTTTTTGTGCTAAAGCCATCTACCGACTGTAGCTTGTATTTGTATTTATATTTGAGAGTGGTATCGACCTTCTCATCTAGCTCTGAGCAAGAAAGCACAAGCGTATTCCCAAAATGTCAAGCTGTTTCTTCAAGCTAAATGGTCATTAGTGAAGCTGGAATTTTTGCGCAGCATGTACATTGAAGATTGGCCTTGCTTTAATCACTCAAGAGACAGGCTTTCATCAAAATTGCAGCCTGTCAGCATTTTTAAGGGGAAAAAAGACAAGTTGGCAGATGTTCACAAAGTTGAACAAAGCTTGTTTTTACTGGAATCTGGAAAATTGCTTATGGGTGTGAGTTTCATGCAAAATGATGACAAGAAGCAAAATGTAAACTGAGGATGTGTGTCAGCGTATTACTAAACATATCCCATAAACATGACACTGGACCTTGACTGAATGGCCATTGATTTGTGTGAAAAAGTAGAGAAGTTGTGTACTGTTTGTCAAACTCCTCCCACCCCCACAAACACGTACACACTGTACAGGTTAGGGCTTGTGTTCTCATTTCACAATACTGGTCAGTTCAGCTTTGTCTGGAAAGTCCATAATTTCCAGCGCATACAGTGTTGTTTCAGAGTATCAGAGCTTATGCAAGAAATAAGCTGATAACACATTGATTGTTTTGTCCTTCCCCTTTCTGTGTGTCTCTCCTTGTTTTTAGGTACAAGGAAATAGCAGGAAGTCTGGAGAACTCCATAAGTGATGGACTAGAGGCAGCTCCAGGTAGGAATATATTCTCCATCAAGAATGCCAGTGTGCCCCTAAAACTTTGCCTGCAGTAACTGTATATATGTATATCCGTGTCTGTTCATGTCCAGCTGGCAGTGCATACCATCTGCAGGTATCTGAGGTGTTGTGGTCCTGCCTAGTGAGATGTTGGTCAGACAAAATCTACTTATCACCTCTTGCCCATCGCTTCTGGAAGCTTACGCTGCAGCTCTACGCACGATACGCCAAGTTTCTTGATGAGGTAAACTTAAATAAACCAGAGGAGGACCATAATGATTTAAAGATTATTTTTTAAGAGTAGTAATTCCAACAAAGCATTATGCAAACAAATAGCCACGTCCTGTTGCCTGCTCTTGTTCCTCATCTCGGTCGGTGTTTGCACAGGTGTTGACTAAGACGCCACCCTCTGAGGTGACCAAAGAGCCAACCAGGCCTCTGCCAAGCTCAGCCTCGTCCACCTCCAGCCGAACATCAATGGATGAGGGCGGCAGTGAGAGTGGGAGTCCTGCCTCCCTGTCTACCAAACAGCTGGTGTACATTGCAGCTGACATCCAAAAGCTGCAGGAACAGGTGCATACACACAAACTAAATACATGTATTTACATATGTTACATTTCAGACTTACGGGGTTAATCTTAGTCTTAATTTTACACCAGTGACAAATTGTCAGTTTTTGAGAATTCTATAACAGTTTCCACTGATGGCCTGCTCTTCTCTTAGATACCAGAGTTGGCAGAAATGGTCCGACAGCGGTTAGAAGCCATCGGATTCAAAAACTTTGCTACTGTGGAAGGTAAGCTACCCAGTGCATATGGAAGTAATTGTAGTTTTTCACTTCCTTTGCAGTGTTTACTTGATCTTACTCTGCAATGTTTTGTCAGGAAATGAGGAACAAATGCGCAAGAGGATTTTATGACGCTCGTATGTACTTGTATTTAAAACTGCTGCAAAGCACTGGATGTTTTTTGAGGATACTCTTGTAATCGGCAGGGACTACTGCACTATTTCTGTTGTGGCCTTTTTTTTTATTGAAAACATGCCAAGGGACACATAACTCTAGTGTTCACTGACATTCACAGCAGGCTTTTGAACATGATCTCTTCAAAGACAGTATCTCAAAAGTCACAAAATAAAATCATTCATTGCTTGTGCCCTCAATACAAGGATAACTCAGAACTTGTGTGTACTTTTGCATTTACTAGTGTTCTCTTTTCTGTCAGATGCACTATTGGACTCTAAGGCTTGCCTTTCAAGTAGTATTCCCACTCTGAATACCAGGATGACCCAGCATCTGACTGAACGCTGTTGCCGCTTCCTGAAGAGTGCCTCTGAGGTTCCACGACTCTACCGCAGGACTAATAAGGTCAGTCAAGCTGCAAACATGTGCGTGTTTCTCCAATATTTCATCATATAACATACTGTATCTCAGAGCAAACATGGGAAGCGCTGTTTGTCAAAGTTAGACTAAACCTCGAAGGCTCAGTTACTTGGTATTGTGTTGTGGCATATACATTTTTTTTCCTGATAGAAATGCTATATTTAAAGGTCAGCCCACCCCCAGAGCTTCTTAAAGGACACCGATTGGTCTGATACTACTGTACCAAACACAAATACATAGACCTCGCTGTGCATTCAACATTTTACTTCCTCCTTGAACAGGATCTGCCAGTGCGTGCATCAGCCTACATGGACAACGCCTTACGCCCGTTACATCAGTTGCTGACTGACTCAACGGGGTTGGTCACCCCCTCTACGGCACTAGAGTGGCTGCGAGTTGCACTGTCTGATTGCACACAGAGGTAAGCTAACACACACACACACACACACACACACACACACACTTCCAAATATAGTACCAGTGTTGAAGAATGAATGAGCTATTCCATTTAATATAATTGATAACATCTTTTCTGAAAATTGTATTTCGTTTTCTAAAGTTTTCCACTTTGATTTTCTATCTTTCTTGTGTTCAGGTACTATGAGACCATCTCAGAAGTTCTGAGCTCAGTGAGAAAGATGGAGGAAAGTCTGAAGCGACTGAAGCAAGCCAGAAAAGGTGCAAGCACGACTACCACAGCCGGAACAAACGGTGGACCCACAGACGACAGCAAGATCCGACTTCAGTTGGCACTGGATGTGGAATACCTGGGGGAACAGGTTAGTGCAGTTCTTTTTACAAACTCCACTGTGATCTGAAATATGTTTAATCATTCTCTCTTACCCTGCTCTGTACTGTTGTGTGTCTCAGATCCAGAAGATGGGTCTGCAGCCAAGTGACATCTCCATGTTCTCTACTCTGATGGACCTTGTGAAAGAGGCCAGAGAGCTTGCTGAACAGAACCAGTAAAATGCTGACTCCATAGTAGAAAGAAACCCATTAATGTACTGCACTCTTTCCTTGCATTTCCTGAAGACTTCTGAAGGAAAAGAAAACATTTGTCCCAGTCCAGGCCAAAGTCATGGTCTGGTAACAGTTCATGACGATCAGACCAGGAAGAATGTAGGACAAAAACTGACACTACTGAAATCCCTTTTCAACCTTTTGTACAAAAACATCTTTGTTTAATGCATTGTTAAGAGCCACGTTGCACGAACATTTCAACAGCAGGAACCTGCTAGAGTTACTGTACATCAAGATGTTAATTGTCATTGGAATTGGGAGAGAAACTACCGTCTGTGGGTGAGACCGAATCATCATTGGTTCTACAATGTGATCAAAAGGGACTGAATGGTACTTTATTCATGAAATGTTTTTCACAGAATGACTAATGCCGGGTGATATAGAAAGATCTTGTACTGATCATAATTCGGGCCAGAATGTGGGGTAAAACAAGTCTCAAATCAAAGTGGTGAAGAGAGAATGTCAATCACACAATATTTGTCTAATTTCTGCTACTTGGTGAAGGATTAATATCAAATAAGATATATATATATATATATAATAAGAAGTCTGTTAGTGTGTACATGTACATTTTTGTTAAGAACGAAGTGGCATAATATATGTTTAACATAATGTAACATAACTTGGGAATAAAATAACTTTGTATACAGTATTGAATTTGTGTATTTAAATATAAATATAATTAGCATTGCAGTATTTAGATCCTTTACTACAGTAAAAGTATAATGCCACCACTGTAAAACGTACTGCTCCTTTTACAAGTAAAAGTACTGTATTGAAAATGTTACTTAAAGTATGTATGTATAATCAGAAAAATGTACCTCAAGTATTAAAAGTACCCAGGGCAGAAAAATGTCCCCTATGACTGTTATACTACCATTTATAATAACATTAGATTATTTTTACTCATGCATTAATATAAAAGCAGGATTTATAATATCTAAATCAAAGAAAACAACTAAAATTTGGTAATGAATATTTTGCCTCGAGCAATTCATAAATTTATTCACATATTTTCTAATATTTATGAGTAAGGTGTAATATAAAGTATATACTACTACCACAGTGACCACATTTTCACCAAGGCGTCACAGATTCGGAGATGGCTACATAAAAACGAAATACAATAAACAGTGCTTTAAATGTCTATTCAACACTCGGTATGAACGGTTATTAGACATGGAGTTTTTTTAATTTGAGTAATCTTTAAGTAAGTAATCTGTTTAGTTGAAAAGTTATTTCTGTAGTATTTAATGTTACTGCTACTATTATATATTAATTTCAGTTTTTGTGAACAAGAATAAGGGGCAACATTTTGGAAAAATTATTACGTGATGTAAAGGTTATGTGTTTAACAACAGTTTATGACATGGTTCCAAAAATAAATTGTCTAAATCAATTTCCACACTGTCAGCAATAAATGTAGCATAATTCCTAACCAGAAAGTTTATAAGATGTGTCCTTAATTGATCCCTAGCGGGAGAAATTCAAGAATTTGAATAATAATCTCTAGCATTTATCTGCAGTCCAATTTTGTTAGCATTTCTCTCCGGACCTGTTCATATTGATACAAGACTCATCTGAAGCATTAAAATGGTAATAACTTTGTCTGAAATCCTAATGAAAAACAATGACATTTTAATTATACTGGGAAAAAATGGTTTATTACAGCAATCACAAATTGTAACAAAACAAAAATAAACTCTTAGTTACAATATACAACGTCATTAGTCATTCATCATAGAGAATTGTGGTTACTGTACCTACTCTACTGAAAAATACTGTACAGAACTCTGCTATAATAAATTTTACAGAAAAAAACAATTAGAAGTTTTAACAGGCAGCTCGAAAACAACTCAGCTTAAAGTAACAGGTTTCATAAGTACTGTTTTCATAAATCCGCAAGGTGGTGAAAGATAACACTGTTGAATATTGATATATCCTTCTTGAGTGAGGTTGTGCTTCATTTCTTATGTACTGCATATGGCCATTATTTCAGCTAAAAAACAAGGTTATGATCTAAATGAGATGTCTGTTGCGTGACTGATTTCAGCACCTGCGGAAACTAAAGCTGTAGGCTATGAGGTACATTGGAAATAAATGGGCCTGGGATGTTGGACATTTTTCACGTCAGAGGTTTTTGGTGGTTTTAAGCACTATGTAACTTTAAAGTGTCTGTGATCTTTCCCAGCAGGAGGATAGTGTTAGAATATCCCTCTATGACAGAGAATAAGAACGGTCGGTTGATGGACAGTTTCAGAGGGATGCCAGCTTCCTGGGTGTTGTCCTGCGGCTCTGCTTCTTCTTCTTCTGACATGTCAAACCTCACCTTGTTGACCACCTGAGAGGAGACATCTGTTAATGATACACACATAAACAGGTTTTTTTTTAGAATATGACAAGATGACCACTCATCCACTTCACCTTATCTATAGTGAAGGGTTGGGTGTCGCTGAGTTGGCTGAACTCAGCCTGGGAGCCCAACAGTTGGCTCTCAACTACTGGATTCATGTTGGTCAGCAGGGTGTGCAGATCTATCTCAGAAGACATGGAGAACTTTGGGAGGGACAGCTCTAACAGACTGGAAGGATGGACAGAAGGGGAGACAGATATTGAATTTTAAGATAGAAAGTATTTGAACTGAAATGGGACTATACCTGACTCTTTCTCCCCTCAAAATCTATAGCCCGATTTGCTCTACACTGACATGATGACACATTATTGATTGACTGATAGTACTAGCTAAGTTATGTCTAATTTATGATAATCCAACCTTGCATAGTAACAATTACAAAACTATCATGCAATAAATTGTAATTGCGCAAAATAGGCCTGAAACCTTAGAATGACCTATGCAACACAAAAGGTGATATTCGAACAGAAATACACATTATTGGCCACTGAAAATGTTGAGCAATAAAGTCACATGTTAAATATGCCTCAGATTTCTAGTCCGTCAACTTGTAGTATTGTAAAGGACATCAAGCATCATAGGTGATATTAGGTCTGGATTTAGGGTTTAAAAAAGCAATTCTCACACTTCCTGGAGGTTCTGCAGCCAGTCAGATATGACATCAGGGTTCAGCTTAGACTCTATGTCTTGGATGTTGACCCCTTCGTGAGGCAAGACTAGCAACATGTAGGACCGTTTGCTCAAAGACAGCTTCACAACTATGCACCGCCGTACCTTCATGGTAACAAAAGTGGAGTCCAGTTATTAAGATTCGAGCAAGCTCACTCATCCAAGTACATTTAATAATGATGCAAATATGTGGTGAACAGAATACACAAATGGGCCAACAAAAAAACCCCAAAGATTTACCTTATCATCCAGGTAGTGGTACTGACCCGTGAGGGTCATCCATGGAACCATCGCTGTGGTTCTTTCATCCACATGAAACTCCTGCAGGGTCCTCTCTGCTTGGAAGGCTGTCCTCCACTTGCCTGAACAGGCACAAGCAAATAACATAATCAGGTACTGTGGTAGTTGACAGCATACTATTCACATTGTTATCTGCAGAATTTCAGTTTCTAAGGGTGATTGACTGGCACAAGTATACTGTATGGTAAATGTACTGAAACTTTATTGCAAATCTGACTGTGATCATATGTTCATCATGAATAGACCCATATTTTATCTGTCCCACAAACATTCAAAAATAAAAATGCTTTCATTTTAAAATACTCAAGCCTGGTACACACACCAGGCTTGAGTATCATCTCATCATATCATCTTGGTATTGTGATGAGGAGTGAAGTCCTAAAATGTGGTATCTGTTTGCATTGCACTCTAAAATACAAAGTGAGTTTTGACTTTAAATTATAAATCTCAAGCTGCGTATTTTGTAAAATTAACTAAACAGAGATCTAAACAAATGAGCAGAAGAGACAGACCTTGGAAGTTGAAGAAACTAAGAAACAGAATGTTGCTGCTGGAATTCAGATCTCTGAAGATGCTCTTCACCTTCCCTTCTGAGGTCTTGTCCACAAAGCTGTTTACCAGCTGCTCGGCTTCCTGAGGATTGGAGAAGTCCACGCCACGGATGAACGACGTGTCTGAGAACTCCTGTGTGCCTTGAATAAAGTCCTGGGCTAGTCGAGCATCATGGCGAGTGAAGGTCCACACCTGGGTAGTGATTTCATCTTTCGGTCCATCATCCACCAGAGAGTTAATGCTGTGCAGGGTCTTGAGAACCTTGTGTCCGTCCACGAAATAGACACAGTCCTCTCCGTCATTGGCACTGCTCAGGCCCAGTAGAGACTGGAAATAAAGGGGTGAATTGGGTTAAATTTGAACGAACAAGACCTGCCAATCAGATGGATGGTTAGGCCCATATCAATCATTTCTTTGGACTTTCCCCAAAGTGAGAACAAATCAAAAGCAAAGACCTGGAACGAGCACGCTGTCTTCTTGGAGGCTCCCAGGTAGAAGGTGACGAGGGATCCAAAGGTGTTGTATGGAGAGAAGAGGATGTTGCCCCTGTGTTGCTTGCTGCTGAGATCCTGGTACATCCTCAGGCCCAGAGAGTTCAACAGCCCTGCCAGAATCGCTGTCCTCTCTGTGATGTTCTGCCTCTGTGCATCCAGTTCCGACGGGTCCCTGCTGTCTGGTGTCAAGACTTTAATATCAAGAGGGGCCACAGGAAGTGCATTCAGAGACTTGGACGTCTGGCCCTGCAGGGTCTCATAGGTAACATTCTCGGCGACAAGGAGGTGGAAGGGATGAACATAGACGCGGTTAGCTTGGCTTCCTGAGAGGTAGCAGCAGAGTAGGAGAGCTAGAAGAGGTGACTGTGGAATCTGCATTTTACCTTTTGCTGGTAGTAACCTTAAAACGATTTCTTCTGTGGAAGGAGACAGATATTTCTAGTTTACTATGAATTACATTCAGTATACCAACCTATTAACTGCCTCTTGAGTCTTAGTGAGCACTCAGTATTGGGTGGCCTGTGAATGGTACATCACTATTAGTGTGGCTTTCGTCAGAAATCTGGTTTTCCGTCTCTGACAGGATTGGCTGGCAGGAACATTGGACATAGAGCAGCATGTCAGTGATGGATTGATTGCTCTTTGTGTGTCCTCTCTCCTGCTGGTCAGTGAATGAGAGCAGGCATTACCCTCTGCAGCAGAGGTCGCATAGATAATGAAGACTCATCTATGTGCGTCTGTGTGTGAATTTGTCTGTCTTTACCGACTAAAATAAGATGGATGTTTCATTTGGATATTGTTAAAGCAGCCTTCAGACTGAGCGCAAGCAGTCATCAAAC